GTCCACATGACCCGGGGAGTCAATTAAATTGATGAGGTGGGGCTGGGGCCCCGCCCCATCTTCACAATCGTGCTCGAAGAATAGGGTGACTCCAGTGCTCTTGATCGTCACGCCGCGCTCCTGCTCATCCTTCCTCCCTTGCATGAACTTGGCATCCCCAGCTGACTTGGTTGCGATGATGCCGGCTCTGGAAAGCAAGGAGTCTGCAAGAGTGGTCTTTCCATGGTCCACATGAGCGATGACACTCATGGATCGGATGCTCTCACTCTTGTCCATGATGCTGCGCACCTGCTCCACGGAGAACTGCGGCATCGGACAAGAACCCTATCCGGGCCTTTGGGCCCGTGGGCACCAAACTCTCGCAGCGAAGCTGACTTGAGCAAAGACTCTGGCTCCGGTGTGCGCGCTTCTTGCTGCTGACGTTCTGTCTGTTCCGATAGTTAATGTTCTCTTTAGTCATCTTCCTCATTACATTGGAACCTCAATCACAGCTTCCGACATGCTACGAGTATGAACTCTGACCTTCCGCGTGGATTGTGGTTGCCAAGTTGGATTCCACAATGAACCCTTTGCAAGCTGTTGCATTCAGAACTTGTATAAATACGACGAGCATCTATCGAAACTGTCGCTGGTAATGCAAGTCAGTTCGGACTGGGCCCACTGCCTGTGTGCTGAGGCGCATGTCAGGCACAGGGCCAGGAGCAAACCCTGGCTGTGCGGAGGCACCATTGTTCGCCATGAGAGCCGTTCTAGAGCTGCACGCTTGGATCAAGAGCTTTACAAGTGTGTTTGTTGAGTTGTTCGGACCCTGCGTGTGTGGCCGAGGTCCACACATGCTCTGGACGTTGATGCTCTAAGGCTTGCGGTGTACATCTGTGCCGCAGCGATCCCACTGAAATTGAGCTTTGGGCTGCGGCTCTGCTACACTACTGCGCAATGCGGCGGATTGCTGTCCGCACATCTGCTGCAAGCACATGTATGCTGGTGAGCCTCTGCCAAAAGCCAGGATGAAGCTCAGGCAAACCAATGGAAAGCGGCGTCGCACTTGGAATGAAGTAAGATTCCCTATGCAGGGCTGACAAGTGTTCGACACCCCGGGCCGGCCAAGGCCCCCTGTTTTGTCTTTGGCGCGAAAGGGCCGAGATCACTTTGCGCTCGATTGCCCGGGAGCGCCCCGGGCAGAGAGGAGAATGCCGTCCTCGAGGTCTCTCGGACCTGTCGAAAAAACGAGCATACAAATGCACCTGCCCGCGCTTTCACTCATACAGCTCTGAGTTTGTGATCTGATGATGACCAGGTTCTGACCGAATACCATGTTCATGCTGACGCTGTTGCTTCTGCTGCTGCTGTCTGCGTCTGCTGCCGCTGCTGCTGCTGCTGCTGATATTGTTGTTGTGGTTGTTGTTGTTAGTGATGATGACGGCGAGGATGATGGTCGATCCATTGGCTGTGGTGACGAGTAGATGCGGCGACTGCTCTGAAGAGACGAGTGACGCTGACTCTGAGCCATGGATAATAGTCATGGTTCATGGTGGTTATGAATCATGAATACGTTAATGGTGGGTGTTATTGGAGCTTTTTTGTTGCGAGTGCCCTGATGATGTTGCTGGCAAAATCAGATCTGACGTTCGCGACAACAAATATGAGGATGATGGTTGGGCACCCCGTACAGTAGCGATGATGATGGTCACATTACGAGCGGTAGCAATCGTGCAGACAATGGCGCTGGCGGTGGGGACGATTCTAAAGCACGACGTCATCAATGAAGGTGACCATGATAAGCACCATCGTTGTGATAATGGTCATTCAGTCTTTCGTGCTTCAGCTTGCAGCAAGTACACACTGTGGATGAGTTGCCGCTTGGTGACTCTTGGAATTTGTAGTGTAACAGTTACAGTAACGCCAGTTCGCGATCACTGAGTCAACATGTTGGACATGAGTCTCTTTGCAGAAGAGGTGGCCCTTCTGGGGCAAATGTTTCGTGCGATCTTTCTCTGTGAAGCCAGATTGAATTCCGCCGTGTTTGTAGTAGATCCAATCACCGTCTGACTTTCCCCAAGGTCGGGACATCATCGGAACCCACTCTTTGAACCTGGTTCCCAGAACCATTAATACATGGCCTGCAGCACCACGCTGGAGCTTGTCAGTTGCTTTCTTCAGGAACTCCTTAGAAGCTCAACAGCCATGACTCCCACCCCACCAAGAATGATAGCAGAAGACAGTCCCGAAAGACAACAACATGCAGTAACCACAATGCCTATGACAACCCCACCACCATCAGCCGTCAGCAAACACAATAGACTGTGAGTCACCTTTATGCCACCGTTGTCACGAATACCTTTGCATTGCCTGGCTGCTAATACGTATGGTTGTGAAGGAAAGCTGCAAGTAGTTGCTTGTTTTGCAGTTGTTGCGACGATGAGTGCTTGTGGCAGTACAACACTTCTCTTTGGTCTTGCAGTCGTGTCATTCCCCTCAGCATGGTGCAATGACTGGTGCCTGTACTACAACTCTGACAAACACCGAAGTCCACGTAATTCGCTGTGACCCTACAGATATTTAGTTGGTAAGAGTTCCGGAAGCACTGCTGCAGCAGTCTCTGACCACGGTCTCTCGGCAAGATCGGCAACCGCCACCGAGATGGTAAGAATGGCGGCATAAAGCAGGATCCTCGCATTGCCATGGGCACAGCGGAATGATTCGCTGTAGCTTCGCCGTGGAAATCCCACTTGACACATGCTCCCATGGAAGTCTGGCCAGGGTGCGTGGGACACACGAGGAGGGCGATGCGATAGGAGGCTGCTGGTTGCTCAACCGAACACGGACATGAACTCCCGGATTTAGTATTCGATGAAACTTGGGAACATCCACACCAACCAAATAGTGCACACTTCCGACAGGCCCGAAATTTTCAAGGGAACAGCCACAGCACAGCACCAAATGTGCCGAGACTCGGCTCTAGTTCGAGTGGCAGCAAGTCGTGGAGGGGGTTTGCAAGCAGGTAGATCTGCATGGAATACTCCCCCAAGTTGTGCAAAATTCCTCCGTCTGTGCCCAGGGCTACACTTGACGGTGACGCTGCGCTCAAGCCAAGGGCGAAGTCTGACTAATGTAGGGGGGCCTTAATAATTAGAATAGGGTTTCGAGGGCTCCTTTTTATAATTATAGTATAATATAATATACCCCCAAACCCTATTCTAATTATTGAGACCCTTACATTACAGCATCTTGGGAAAGTTCAATGGAACCCCCTCAGAAAGAGTTACCCGAGTTCCAGCATGCGGGACTTGCAAATATGCTGCAGCACAGCCGGATGTAGTTCTCCAACGTCTGCGCACAGATCTATTAAACTGATTGCTGTACACACTCTTGCGAACCCACCTTCAACCCCAAAGCCCACCTATGAATGAACCACCGGCCGCTAGTTAAGTCAGCTTGAAACTATAAAAATCGAGCATCGATGACTGCAGATTCGATTCAAAAGCGATTGGTGACCTCGGATCAGGTCCCGGCCGAATCCGTCTTAGAGAAATTCGTCATATTCGCATCCGATGTGAAACTGGGGGCTGAACCTTGCAGGGTTTCTATGACATCATAGACTCTAAACCCTGCAATAAAGCAGACTGAAGACGGTGCCTTTGTTCCATGCTCCGAAACACTTGAACTTCCAGGCTTCTAGGCTTGTAGCAACAGGGCGCAACCAAGGGTTTCTCCTGCAGTAGCTAGCAGATAGCACCGCCATGAAGATCAAAACGGATTGCGATGTCAGCAAAGCTCCTCTACTTAAGAAGGGCTCAAGGCCAACAAGCCCTTCAGTGGACGGGGGCTGAGGGAGATTTGGGAGTTCCAGCCGCTGCAGCGATGCAGAAGCCCTTGCCCTCCGCCTGGAGATATCCAGTCTTCCCATGTCTTCCCTTGTAGTCCCTATTGTAGTTTGCTATAACACCGATTGTAGTTTTAGTATGAGGCGGACATCTGCGAGCGGCCCAGGGTCGACGTCAGCACCCACACCGTCACCGGTGCCTCGGATGTCTTCTCGGCAGGTGTGTGGTCGAGAGCGATGCAAGAGAACTCCATAATTTCGGAACCTTGCTGTGGTGGTTATGATGACGACGGTCACGATACTGACAACCGTAAAGACGATAACGGGTGATAATGATGATGCTGAAGATGACGGTTGTGGCAAGCAGACAGAACTACGGCTTTATCGACACATATGACCGCACATGCCTTTATCCGTAAGGATGAAGACTCAATCACAAGTATGATCTGGAGACATTCTGGTGGACCGCACCAGTGACGGCTCAGGAGCGACGACCAGGACCTGACGGCTAGCGACTGAAGGGGCCAAGAGCGAACCGGTGATGCCGGCTGATTCGAGAGTGGCTTAAGCAAAGCAAAGCATGACGTATGGTGAGTAAAGCGTGATGCGTGACCCACGAGTAATGGTTCTCTCTGACTCAGGACGACCTTATCAAAATATAGACTGCTTGCCTCAGCCCGCTGTCGCCACTACTCTTATGAACATAGCACCGTCATCTCCGTATACCTTTGTCACTGTCATAGTCGTTGCAGGCTCTCTGCAACCACGAGTGCTGTGGCTTCTGCAATCATTTCCCCGCTTCTTGACGTGGCCACTGGTGCTACTGTTGTGCGATTTTGCTGCTGGTGACAGGCTGGTGCTGGTGACGACGGTCCCCATCATCATCTTCATCACCACCGCTGAAGTTTGGTTCATCAACCAAGTTGGTTCACACGCACCTCCACCACCCAGAAAGTCAATGTCGTGTTATCCGTATGCAGTATGCCGTATGCCGTAGCAGTGGTGTGATGGTAGTACTAGCAGTAGTAGCAGCAGTAGTCGTTGTGGTGGTGGTGGTGGTGGGGGCGGCGGCGGCGGCGGTGGCGGTGGTGGTGGCGGTAGTAGTAGTAGTAGTAGTAGTCGTCGTCGTCGTCGTCGTCGTCGTCGTCGCGGTGGTGGTGGTGGTTGCGGTGGTGGTGGTGGCGGTGACGGTAGTAGTAGTCGTCGTCGTGGTGGTGGTGGTGGTGGTGGCGGCTGTAGTAGTGGTGGTGGCGGTGGCGGTAGCAGCAGCAGCAGC